AATTTTGCTGTGTCCTCGGGCAAGGCACTACTTCACTCATGCATGAATGTGGTTCAAGTGAGTGATTGGTATTGTTAAGATTGTCAAGGCACTTATTGGCAGCCACATCTCTGTCAGTCTGCCCCAGGACAAAAAGAGCTCTATTTACACAATTCAATTCTGTATCCCAGATGTAATTATTTTCTATTTACACGTCACTGCTCTTCCTGGAATGTTCCACAGTATGACATTAAACAGCTCTACCATGCATTTATTCAATTACAGACCGTTTTATAACTAAAAAATATCCAGAAAAACTTACACTGTGACAGTGAGCAGGGTCACCTCTCCACAGATCTGACCTGTAACTTGGTCTGGTCTGGTTTCCCCCTGAAGATAGAAAGGTTTAATACCATACTGTGCAACATTCCAGACAAAGCAATAACATCTCCATGGAGAAAAACATTTGGCAAACCCTCCACCAGAAAAGTTACACAATGCACCTTTAACGATGATGACGTTGTTGATGATCTGTCATCAAACTCAATCAAAAACCACTCACACAATCTACTGTTTCAATCTTCAGGAAAAGCGTACGTCTATACTTAAAGTCAAATTAAGGAAAAAGTACATTCAAAAAGTACAAAAATTAGATTACATTAAAGATCTTACACAAAATCTACACTTGTGATCTTAAAGCCATGTTCTAATGATGTTTCCTTCTCAAAAACAGACCTGGAGTTGTGTTTTGTTTCATTCACCATGTTTGAGTAACAGCTTATTATATTTGTCTGCATCTTGAAACCTCAAAATGCTCTGTTCCACCTTGTGATGGTGAAGGGGTAGATTTCAAGTTAACAGTGTCATGGTGTTAATTTTCATTGATTTATTTTATTACTACCTCCTCGAAGGGTTGACCAGGTTTTGTATTCACCCTGTGTGTCTGCGTGTGTGTGTCTGTGTGTGTGTCCACCCGTGATAATTCCGCCATTTATGGACCGATTGTCACCAAATTTGGTACGCGGGTCAAGCCCCCATGCCCAGTGCGGCAAAAAAAAGTTGGGTGATGATCCGAGGTCATTTGAGGTTACACGGGTCAATTGAACGGTCAGGCCATTATAAAGGATAGGCAATTTCGGCAAATTCTGAACCATCTGCGGGCTAAAATATTCACCCAATCATTACACAAGTTGGCACACACAACACTGGATGTTACAGGTTGAAACTGGTCAAGGTCACTTGAAGGTCAAGGTAACCATGGTCGAATACGTGTTTTTGGTCATAACTAATTAAATTCTAATTGGAATGAAAATAATTTCCATTTCTTCTTTTTCTGGTGATACACAACACACTGATCTACAATCTCAGAACTAACATATACAGAGCTCATGAAAAATGACATTTTCGTTACACGCTAGTAAACACAGACATTCTCATGTGTGACCAATATCACCTTTGCCCTTTGTTGGTTCTTTTGTCATTGTCAGTGTTACGTCTGTTTCGATTTTTTTGTGTTTTGTTGTTTTTTGTTCTATTAAACAACTTTGCAAATGCAGTCCTTAATTTTGGGGTCCTCCCTCTACTCTAAATGTGACAAACAGCTCCTTTTACCTTTTGTTCAGCAGAGACTGAAAATCATCCAAAAGATACTAGTGAAGGTTTACGGAGTTTAAAAACACTGTAGAGCACGTCCTGTATTACCACATGATATCCCAAGGTGGAAGAGAGTGTTTTCTATTTGAAGAACTCAGCCTAAATCTGCAGAGTTTGTGTGTTAAACATGTGTGAATGAAACAAAACACAACTCCAGGTCTGTTTGTGATGAGGAAAGTACATTAGAACATGGATCAGAAAATAGCGTGATATGACACTGCAAGATCTAGGATAAAAACAAAGCAATAACTTAGAATAATGAGTGTCTTCTGTTGTTTTTTTGAGAATGTTTTGAATAGTTTAGACTCATTTTAGCTGCACCAAATCTGCTCCAAATCTGTTCCAAAAATGGCGTCTATCTGTTGAGTCTGTTTTGAGTTAAATTCATTTCTCTGTTTCATTCGATGAGTGCATCTCCCACGTCACTGCCCTGAATCCACACACCAAACTCACATTGACTCAGCTAAATTATGACATCTCAACCATATTTGGAACAGATTAAAGACACAGTATGTAACTTTTAGCTGACAAACAAACTAAAATAAAAGCATTTGTGTCAAGAGGTTTGCCCCCCCCATAAGAAGTTGGGTTGAGTCTGGGCAGGTCCAAAATAAGTGAGAGGTGACTTCATTTTTCAGTTCACAAAACGTACACTTTGTGTCCACTGTCCTTCTAAGAATATTCTTGCCGGGATAACAGTGATGTAGAAGTTTGTAGCAGATTTCTCTTTGCTTGTTAGTGTTGAGATATTTGTGAGGTAATGTCTGTACATTTTTCCATGGAATATTGTCATTACAGTCCAGCTGCTAACAGTGCATGAGTGGGGCTCTGTTTGGGAGGGGCATTTATGGCGATGGTCGCTCATTTTCTGCGACAACTCATTATAAGGCAAGTTTACTTGAAGATGAAGCCAAGTAAGTTCCTTTTGAAAATTTTTTCAAAGTTTGGTGCTGCGTCTTCACTCATGCCTGCTCAAGCAGACATCTTCAGGTGTGGCCCTGTCCTGCCGCTTCCCCAGTTTAAGCTCCTGGTACCACTTATGACGTCAATCTGTTGCAGCCAATGAAACAGCAGCAGATGTAACCCTGCCGTCACATCACTGAATACATCTCAGAACGTCTAATAAACAAAATGTGAACTAAAACGTGTTAAATTAGTACTTCTGAGTTTGGAAAAATATTGGAATAAATGTATATTTGTGTTTATTCAAATAAAATGGCAAATATTGGTAGGGACTATTTTGTCTTCCCCAAATATTGGTTGTGACATGTCCCCGTCCCTAAGCAAACCTGCGCTCTTCATTTGTGTTTTTTTTGTTTGTTTGTTTTGTTTTTTGTTTTTTTTTTATTTGCTTTTATCACACTGTAAAACATGTGTCACACTGAAAAACATGTGTTCTTACTGTAAGTGGGCTTGCATCTCCACAAACCTAACCGCACTCTTATTTGACTTGGAAGAGGGCCAACTCCTGTTTGTTTCCATAGAGATGTTGTTGCTTAGACCATAATCTTTCATAATATGGCATAAAACGCATTTTTCTTCATAGGGAATGTTTCAAATTATGTCTTTAAATTTCCATGGAATCATACTGGTGACTTGCCACCGCCATGAAGCTACATTACCTTTACCGAGCATTAAACTTATCGATCTGCCGATACAAGTCAGACCTGTGGGGAGGCAAGCCAGCTTACAGTAAGAAATGTTTTTAACAATAAAATATTTGTAATTAAAGATGTATTGTGTAACTTTTCTCATTACCACCAGAAAAGTTACACAATGCACCTTTAAATAAATGTAAGATAAAGTTTTTGGTTCTGGGTTCCTCCCCTGTGTCCTTATGTGGTGCATGAGAACTCCAGAGTTTAGAGCCAACTCTGAGCACTTTTACTCATGGAAATGTATGTGGAACTGGCCAAGAACATAACTGTTTTATTTCAGCTATCAGTCTGAAATCATTTTATCTTTAGGGGTTTAGTCATAAACATGTATAGGCTGGGGTGATGTTTATACAATGGTATGAAGCAGATGCAGAGGTACAAAGCAATAGAAAGACTGTAAATTAGCCATTGTGCTGTGTGATGGGATAAACAAGACTAAATCATGTTGAGTGATTCATACATTACTAAAAATGATACAGGGATGGCTAAGGCTTTGCGGTATGGAGCAAAAAATATATCTCAATATATTTTGCTTGGTATACAATATATATCTCGATATCTTTACAGGAAAAATAACCCCCCAAAATCACTGCAAAAACAAATATGCCAAATTCCACAAGGTCTTTTTTTATTGAAGTGCAAAGACATTAATGTTGAACCTGATGATTTCCATCAGTGTCTAGACCCAAGTACTCAAAAAAAATCAGCATTTTAACAATATTAATATTTATGGAGTAAAAAAGATTTCAGAAATATTTGTGTGCATAGGATAGAAATCCGTGCATATTTGGCTTAGCCTGATTCATCAGCTGGTTTTACTTCGTTTCACTTTGTACAAACCGTCTGACCTCGCAGTATTAGAATTTGTTCGCTCGACGGTAGGTGGGTACTTTTTATTATTTAACCAATCGCTGCTATTTGGTCGTGATGTATGTAATGCGTCACTAACTCACTAACTGGTATATTAAGCTTTTCCCAAATCCAGTATGAAGAAAGGCAATAACGTCTTTCCCCTTGATAAAATTCACAAAACATTCTCTTGATTCCAGCTTTAAATCCTTGATCTCGGGAATCATTGACAACACAGAATATATGGTTCTTCGCTGATTGGGTGGTGCCCGAACTTGCACTTCCGGGGTTTTTGCAAACCATCTATTGTATTTTGATTCCTGACCTAGTCGCTGAAATGAAATTGAGCGGAGGCACTAGGTGGCAAAAGCCTGGCTATATTTGGCTGTAGTTGAGCATAAAATAAATATTTGTAAACTCTCGAATGAATCCAGTCGTACATAAAACCTGTTGTGTGTATCCATCTGAATATGAATTGAAAAGTTACGACATCAAGAATTACAATCATGAAATGAAAAGTTATGATTACGCTTTCTTCAGTACAAACACAAATTTACTGTCAAAAATACATCATCACTTCACAGACATTATTTCCTGAGCAGAAGAAACATCGATCGAGATGCCGGACTTTTGCGGACTTTTGGGGCTGAACCAGGTCTGAACTAGGATTAAACCAAGACTGAACCAGGACTAAACCAGGACTAAAACAGGACAAAAATGCCAGAGAACTACAAATTTTAGTGGTTGCAAGAAATTGAGAAAGTTTACAAGTCACGGCAAGCATTAGACAAGGTACAGTTAGATGCCTATAAAACACAAGCAATAAGACTAATGCTTTTTATTATGATTTGTCTTCTATAGGCTCCTGTATCCCCCTCACCATGCCGCCCCCCACCGCCGCCCCCAACCTCATCATCTCCACCACCGACCCCAACCCGGAGGACGACAGCCTGGTCAGCAACGACTTCTCCACCACTCTGGGTGCTCTCATCCTCGCCTTAGTCTTCCTCCTCGGCGTTCCAGGAAACCTCTTCATCGTCTGGAGCATTTTGGCACGGATTCGCCGCCATTCCGTGACCACATTCCTTATTTTAAACTTGGCGTGCGCTGACGGGTTCCTGATGGCACTTACAATATTTTTTGTTGTATACCTGGCCAAGCAATCGTGGGTTTTTGGGAATGTTATGTGTAAAGGGCTGTTCTACCTCTGTAATACCAACATGTACGCGTCAATATTTTTGATTACGTTGATGAGTGTGCATAGGCTGATAGCGGTGGTGTGGCCGACTAGAGTTTCGCTCATCGCAAGTCCCAGGATTGCAAAAAGAGTGGTGGTGGGAATGTGGGTTCTGGTTTTTATTATTTCAACTCCATCGCTGGTGTTCAGAAACATCAGGATAGATGAAGACGAGCTGGGCAAGCCGAGAAAGGTGTGCGCGCCCAATCACACGCTGCCAACACATGTAAGTGAATCTTCTGCTCCATCTCACCTACTTCTCTCCATCCTCTGCCTCTTCTGACCTTTTCCTCTGTTCATCTGATTCTCTCCTCTCATCCTCTCCTCCATCTGACTCTCTCCGATCATCCTCTGTTCCATCTGACCCTCTCCTCTCATCCTCTATTCCATGTGACTCTCTTCCCTCATCCTCTGCTCCATCTGACTCCTCTCCTCTACTTTGCATCCTCTGCTCCTCTGCATCCTCTACTCCATCTGATGCTTTCGCTCAAAGAAATACATTTTCAGGATATAATGCTTTACGGATGGAGTTGTATTTTGCTTCATTCACTCTGGATTCATTAATCCATTATTCCAAAATCTTCTCTGAGCATTTACAGACTCCTAGCCAGGCTAGCGCCACCTAGTGCCTCCACTCAATTTAATTTCTCTCCAGCAACTAGGTCAGGAATCGGAATACACAAGACAGCTCACAAAAACGCTGGAAGTGCAAGTTCAGGCATTGGCCAATCAGTGAAGAGCCATCATTCTGTGCTGGCAACTATTCCCGAGATCAAGGATTTGAAGCCGAAACAAAGAGATTGTTTGGTGAATTTTATGAAGGAGAAAGACGTTATTGCCCTTCTTCACACAGAATTTGGGAAAAGCTTAATATACCAGTTAGCTCCATTAAAGGCGCATTACATACATCACGACCAAATAGCAACAACTGGTTAAATTTAAAGTACCCGCCTACTGTGGCGTGAACGAATCCTAATGCTGCGAGGTCAGACGGTTTCTACAAAGTGAAACCAGCTGATGAATCAGGCTAACAGACTTCCTCTACACAGTTTGAAGCCCAATTAGTTTTGTGTAATATAGGACCTTTAAAGGTTGTATAGAGGATTTTCCAAGGAACGAGAAATCCAGCGACTGTTTGTCCTTTTTCAAATGTTGCGCATGCGTGAAACCACCCCCCCTCCCCTACAGCTCCCTACGTAGAAACGCCTCCTCCCGCCTCCTCCTTACGCCAGAAACAGGTTTGTTTACAGCCGGTGCGCTGCACATGACTTGTACACGACTAACTACAGTGTTGGTTAGGCAAGGCGGAGAAGTGAGGAGCGGGGGGAGCGGGTGCGCGGACATTTCGTGCGCGGACGAGAAGTGAGGAGCAGGGAGAAGAGTGGAGCAGGGAGCAGGGAGAGGAGAGAGGAGAGGGGAGCGGTGCGCGGAGATTCCGTGCCCGGAGAAGTGAGGAGCAGGGGGAAGAGCGGAACGGGCAGCGGGGACAGGAGCAGAAAAGGGGTGCAGAGAAGGTTGCGCGGAGATTCAGTGCGAATGAACTAGCTACAACACGCAGCAGCAAGCGGACTCTTTCTTTGCATTGAAAATTACGTTTTCAGACATAGGATATCGCTTTTGTGTCCTGCAAAACGTTTGACTAGCTCTTGGAAATAAAGTACGTTTTCATAATAAGCAGAAGTGACCTGTCCAGGAGTAATTTGGCGACCAGTGCGTCAGTCTTTAGACCCTGCGTCTGCTTCAGTTGCGCCATCGCTGGAATGAATCTTCAAGAATTACCTTAGTTTGGCTTCGCTGCTTTTCCCCTTGTTTTCTTCTTTCAGCAATCTCAAAAACGGACTTTCTTTTGCGGCTAACTGCTCCTGGATTCTTGTCTGCCATTGCAACAAACTTTGTGCTAACTGCGAGGAAGATATAGGTCAAAAAAAAGCCGCTAAGAACTGTTGCGTTGGTGGAGTAAACAGCGTCTGTGCGGCTTGCGTCTGTGGACTGTGTGACAGGCGTACGTAAACCACGTACTGGCGGCGCGCAGGCAAGTCAGTTATGCTAGAAACGTAGGGAGATTGATTGACAGCCTGTCAGCTAACAGATAACGAGGCAGTGTCGTTATCTATTGGCAAATGTTTAGCTGGCCCCACCACGTCCAGAGTTGATGAATTTTTATTCTCTTTTTTTTGGTCATCATAATTACAAGGCTACTGCACCTCTATAATGCTATCATTGACAATTTGAAACAAAAAAAAATCCTCCATACAACCTTTAAGTTAGAAAATGTGAAATAATCATCCAAAGATGACCAAAAGCATATTTAAAAGGGAATTAAAGACACGAGAATACATATGTGTTTTTGTGACTTATATGTTACTTACCAATTCTCCATCTTGCTCCAGGTGAGGTTCCAGTACGCCTTTGAGACTGTTTCTGGGTTTATTCTTCCGTATGCTGTCATCATCACCTCTTACGTCCTGATCCTGAGGCGACTGAGGCAGACACAGTTCAGGAAGAAAGTTCGGAGTGAAAAACTCATCCTCGCCATCGTCGTCACCTTCGGAATCTTCTGGTTCCCGTATCACATCATCAACATGATCCAGGTTTGAGGAGTTGGATTTCTGTGGAATATTTGAGAAAAAAAAGAAAAAAATATTAAGTTGTGGTTTTTTTTTTGGCTTTTGAAGGTGGCCGCAGAGTGGTATCCTGAAGATTCACCCACAAGAGAAGCGTAAGTACAGAAATGTGCACTGTGTAAATTTTCTGGTGGGGTGTCTGCAATGTATTTGCATAATTTACAATGTAGTTTGCATAAAAAGTGGCATTATTAAAGTGTTATTGACTAATGTCACAGCATGCTACTGCTCCTACTGTATTGTCTTTAAAAAGAAACCAAGAAGTAAAAATCTAGTAACGTTTCCATAGCAATTAACAATTCAAATAAAAAAATTCTCTCTTTTGAATGGCCAAAATCTTCAGCGTCACCAATGACCAGAAAGTCATAAAAACGTGTGAATACCTGTATTGATTTTTTTTGGTTGAAATGTTACATGGGAGCTTTAACTATTTAAATTTCTTCTTTGTTTTCTAGCTTGGACCACATCTGGCAGTCAAGTCGCGCCGTCACCTCAGCATTAGCCTTCATTAGTAGCTGCGCTAATCCGGTTCTGTACACTTTCGCTGGGAAGTCGTACATCAGACAGAACGGCTTCGCTTTCATGGCGCGTCTGTTAGAAGGAACCTCTCAGGACCAGTGCACGAAAAAGGGGAGGAATCCAAACTCCGAGTCCAACGTGGGGTTAAATAATACGGTTTCCAATGGCAACGGAGGCTGTGTGCCGCTCCCTACTAATGGTTAAAAGAATTGTGTTTTGTTTTAATGGACAATTTTCAAATGTTGACCTGCTTAAAATGTACTGAAGGGAGTTTTGTGTGTTTTCAACTAAAGTACATTTTTGACACCAAGCTCATGGCACACAATCTTTTATGTGTAGCCCATAGACTGTATAAAGAAGTGGACTAAGGGAGTGTGACCTGACCCACAGCGTTCGACTCCCATCAAATGAAGCTCACGATGCTAGCTGTTATAGGGATGAATTTGGAACCAGATCCATATTTGAATTGGGAATTTATTTACAGATAAAACCCTAACCCTAACCCTAACCCAAAATAAAAACACCAGGATCATGTAAAGCAGGTTAAAATTTAAGTGTCACTTCCTATTTGTTTGTAAAGCATCTTTGAGTGCCCAAAAAAGAGCTATATAAGTCTGATGTAGTATTATTATTATTATTATTATTATTATTTATTATTATTATTATTATTATTATTATGTTAAGACCAAAATGGTGAAACTCACAGAGGAAGTTACAGATGGTTTTTCAATGTAGTCAATGAGTCGATGGATCCAGAACTGCACCCATGCTCACTCCCTACTTGATAGGCTAGCATGGTGGCTAACGGGTTAGCTATGTCCATTTATATTTATACAGTCTATGGTGTAGCCCAAGTAAATTTCTTATTCACTGGTAACTAATGAACACAAGGCCTATAATTTTATTTCAGATCTGTTTCTGAAACTTTATAAACCTCAGTTATTAAAACATTTTGCCGAATATTGCTTTTAATATGTGCTTTTTGGACTTAAAGCAGCCGACTTATGGACATTAGTTAGCACATAGCTGCTTAGCCTCTGCAAAGTCTTGGAATTTTGTTAATATTTTTTCTATGCGAAAGTCTAAGTCTATGCAAAAAATTTATGGAAAATTTACTTCCAGAACCAGAGCAGACTTTGAAGTGGGCAGGTCTCCTTTTGTGAATTTAAGACTAGACTTAAATGCAGGAAAATGCATTCTTACACATATCATTTTATAGGACAGTAGATGAGGCTGGAATAATCTGTTGTCCCAGGCAAAAAACTGGATTGTCTTCCTGTTAAATTATATTACGGGGGGCCCATTTGAGGCTTCTTGCCCCAGGCCCCCAAATTTCTGTCAGTGGGCTTGAGTAGACATATCATTATCCAAGAGCCTGTCTGCTTGCTTCCATTCATACGAGCAAACAGGCTAAACACAGGCAAACTGGGTACAATGTCTTGCTCAATGACACAGCCACAGCATAGTCATACAGGTGTTGCTATATACTTTGTTACTGGAAAAACAGTTAGAAATTCAGTACTTGAGTAAGTTGTGCAATTATCAAACACAGAAATCTCATGTTCAAAGGCCCATATTAGGCTATTTTCTCATCTCTGTTCTAATCTGTTTCCTCTATTTCCTCATCAAAAACAGACCTGGAGTTGTGTTCTGTTTCATTCACACGTGTTTAACACACAAACCTGCAGATTTAGGCTGAGCTCTTCTCTGAAACAGAAAACACTCTGTTCCACCTTGTCATTTCATGTGGTAATACAGGAAATGCTCCACTGTGTTTTTAAGCTCCGTACACCCTCACTAGAATCATTTGGATAACTTCAACACTTCTATTGTCAATTCATACTGAGCAAAAGGTTAAAAGGAGCTCTTAACTTGAAAACTACAGCTTGATGACATCACAAGTTGGAACAGAGTGTTTTGAGCTTTGGAGATGTAGACAGAGTAATAATAAAGGATCACTCAAACATGTGTGAATGAAACAAAACACAACTCCAGGTTTGTTTTTGAGGATGTAACAACATTATAACATGGTTTAAATCCATTTTGCATAATATCGGACCTTTAAATACTGGCTTTGGGAGAAAAGGAGAAAGAGCTTCCTTCAGTTGTTTAAGATGTTCTGTGTACAGTATTAATGACTAGCACAAGGAAATGCAATTTTGTACATACTTTATTTGTGTAAATTAAACATGTCACTGATTGCTTATGAGGTATAACTATAGCACTATGTCATTTGAATAATGTAAAGTTATAAGCATGAAACTGTTATATCTGCCTTAATAATAAAACAAGCCTTTTGCATTCGAGGCTGTGGACACATGTATTTGAATAGTAGACCTTATGGAAGATCATTTGTTCCATTAGATTTTGAATTTTAAATAGTGCTGAATATCTCACTTTGAATTTTTTAGCTCTGAAAAAATATTTTTGAATAATTTTTATTCAGAAATTTAGTTGCTGAAATTTTAAGTATACTTTTTCAATATGTTTTAAATTCAGAATACAAAGTTCACCTTTGAAATATTCAGCACAGATCCAGATCCAGTCCAGAGTGTAAAATTGGGTAAAAAAAAAAAAAAAGTATACAATTTGCAGTGAAAATTTTCACAGCAAAGATCCAAGACATCAAAGCAGAAGCAAAAGGCTCTATTCACGCTTACGTCACAAACCAGGAAAAAGTGATTACAACTTTCAGTGTAGTTACCGACGCTGGGCTCACTGACCGACTGTGATCAAACCCACTGAAGTAAATGTGATCAGTGGTAAAATGAAGACTGCAAACGTATGTGGTGTTTGGAATCATTTTGAATTTAGCACCCTCATTTCTTCTAACCACATGTACCAAGTGCACTTGGAGTTGTGTGTCAGTGGAGAAGTGATGAAAACAATAGGGTGAATATGACCCCACACTCAGGGCAAGTTCAATAGGCTTAGCTCACGAACAGAAACTGTAAACAAATAGGTGTGTTAGTTTCAGAGTAGTTTCAGTGTAGCTAGCTCCTCCCTGCTGGCAGATGTAAAGCAGCTTGATGAGCTGTGAAATGTTTTCAATCAAAATAAACATTTGTCCAGTTGAAAAATTGCATTTCTCCTTTTGCTCATCCAAGCTATTTTTTTCAGTCCTTACTAAAGAAGCAGCTTGGGCAGCTCATCCTTTTTCATGGGCCTGTTAACAATGTCATGTAACACCATTCCCAGGTCCTGTGGTTCAGCTTTTTATCTATGTACGTGCTATTTTGTTAGTGTATTCAAATGTGGTTAGTGTATACTATTTGGTTAGTGTATAAATATTTGGTTAGCGTATAAATCTTTGGTGAATGCTTTCAAATTGGGGCTTCTGGATTCCTACTTCTTCTGTTTTTAAGGTATTTTTCAAGCAATATAAACAGCTGTAGTGTAATTAATGCAAGATAAGACAAATGTAATGTCATACTGTGGAACATTCTACGAAAAGCACTTACATCTCCATGGAAACAAGGCATTAACAAGACCCCCCTACACTAGAATAACGCTCACATTTATGGTATTTTCAAAGGATAGATATGAAAATGAGCTAAATGAAATTATACATGAAAGCTTCTGTCACCTGTAGACTTACTCACTCAGGAACCTTAACTTTTACTACAGTAAGAGCACAGTTACTTCAGTACTAATATTACTCAAGTAGAAGTACAAATATCCTGCAAGAAAAATACTCTGAAAAGTAATTTTTTTATTCAAGTTACGTAAGTTACGTAAGTTACGTTAAGTAAATGTAACTGAGTAATATCCAACTTTGTTCATTTATGCCATTGATAAAATAATCCTGAAGCAAGATTAACCCCCAAAAATATTCTAAATGTATGATATAATTAAAAGTCCTATATTATGCAAAACTGATTCTTTGAGCAATGTTGGAATGTTGTTACCTCCTCACAAACAGACCTGGAATTGTGTTTTGTTTCATTCACACCTTTGAATAACTCTTTGTTATTTGTATGTCTACATCTCCAAAGCTCTTCCAACTTGTGATGTCATGAAGTGGTAGTTTTCAATTTAACAGCTACCTTTTACCTTTAGTTTAGTAGAGATTGGCAATTCCAGGGCTGAAATTATCCAAATCATTCCATCCATCCTTCTATTTTCTTCCGCTTATCCAGCGCCAGGTTGCGTGGGCAGCAGTCTAAGAAGGGACTCCTAGACTTCCTTCCTTCCTCACCAGACACTTCCTCCAGCTACTTCGGGGGAACCCTAAGGCGTTCCCAGACCAGCCAAGAAACATAGTCCCTCCAGCATCTCCTAGGTCTTCCATAGGGTCGCTTCCAGGTGGGACATGCCCGGAACACCTCCCGAGGGAGGCGCTCAGGAGGCATCTGGAACAGATGCCCGAGCCACCTCAGCTGGCTCCTCACGGCGTGGAGGAGCAGCGGCTCTACTCCGAGCTCCTCCCATGTGACTGAGCTTCTCACCCTATCTCTAAAGTAGCACCCAGCCACCCTGCGGAGGAACCTCATTTTGGCCGCTTGTATCCGCGATCTTGTCCTTTTGGTCATTACCCAAAGCTCATGACCATAGGTGAGGGGAGGAACATAGATTGACCAGTAAATCAAGAGCTTCACATTTTGGCTCAGCTCCCTCTTCACGACAATTGTACAATACAGCGACCGCATCACTGCTCACGCTGCACCGATCCGCCTGTCAATCACACGCTCCATCCTCCCCTCACTCGCGAACAAGACCCTGAGATACTTGAACTCCTCCACCTGAGGCAGGACAATCATTCCAAATGAGTTTATAAACACCATGGATCACAAGATGGAAATGTGTGTTTCCTGTCTGAGCGAAGAACCCAGTCTAAATACGCAGGGTTTGTATGTTTAACATTTGTGAATCAAACAAAACACAACTTCAGGTATGTTGGTGATGAGCAAACATTAGCAAAGGGACAAGATCTCGTGCCACAAGACTGTGTGCACATAAGAAGAATAATCTCGAGAGATTTTTTCCCCATTTGGATTGGATGAAAAAAGATGAAGTGCTTTTGGGTTGCATCTTTTGAGAAGCTGTAGTTCCAAGATAGATAGAATGACAACAAAAATATGAACTGAAAAAAAAAAATGAACTGATGTAAAAAGGAAACAAGCACTTTGGGGATTCTCTGGACATGTTTAAACTGTATTTGAACTGCAGTCATCTTCCTGAAAACATTCTTCTAGGTTCCAAACACCGGACACTTTAATCTCTTGTTCGCCCCCTCTTAAAATCGCTTGACTTGACTGAGATCCAATGACTTCTGTCCAGGAAAGTAAAGCACAATAGACCCACTGTTTGTTAAAAGAAAAGATGAGAATTAAATGTAATAAGAGTGTAAATGCCAACATCTGCAACTTAAAATCACTACAAAATTGTCAACAAAACTCACTCTTATAAATTGCTTTTCCCCTCCTTATTTATCCTTGGTGATAAACATTTACACTAAAACGGATTTGGCTGATGGTAGTTCTGGTGTTGGACAATAGCGCCCTCTGCAGACCATCAACATAAATGCAAGCTTTTCTGGTAGGGGTCTGCTCTGTGGAGGTTAACAGTTTAATGTTCCACAGTGTGTCATTAAAGTAGTAGTACTACTACTGCTACAACTGCAACTACTCGTACAACAACTTCTACAACAAAAAATGCTACAACTACAACTATTACAACTACTACAAGTACTCCAGTTTTGCTATTTATTATTGCTAAAAAATACCAGTCACCTCCCCATAGATCAAAACTAACTTACTTAGCTTTGTGGTGAAACCTGATTGCCTAAATAAAATTAAGCTGTGGAACATTTCTGGAAAATCTACCAAGATAATTAGGTAGTATTTGACCCTCCACTAACAGTTACAGTGAATCTAAGCTATGGAACATTTGGTACCACAAAGTATACGGCATCAGTAATTTAGCTATAGAATAAGAAAAAAAAAAAAAAAAAGAAAAAAATCTAAAAACCTGTAACAAAGATTTCCTTTTGCTGATAGTAAATATTACAGATAAAGGACATTTTCTTCAGGTTTTCCACAGATTTAGGAAGTAGTTAGGTTTTTGCTCAACTTTATGGATAAAACCAGAACCTTCTCAATCCAATGCACAGCTCTTAAATTAATTGAAAATTGTTTTAAACTATTAATAATGATCAAAAAGTCAAAGAGGCATTTCAAATTTTTATTCAAAGTTTAAAAAGTTGTACACAACATCAAACCAAAAATACAAGTTTCTTAATACAATGAGTCAGTCCAAATGACAACACCCACCTCCTCAACGCGATGTCCCGAAGTTTCTGAAATGAGAACAAACGCAATTTAAGCAAATCTGAACATTAAAAACACAGAAATGACATAATATTTTTCTGTCAAACAGTTCAGTGCAGTAAAAGCTGTAATCATGTGTTCTCAGGTGAAACACGGACTGCAAATCATCATTAGTTTGACATTCATGCCTACACATTTTAAGTTATAGCGGTTTAAAAAAAAAGACCTCAACATGCCATGTTGTACTTTTCTGCCAGAGGGTCTGTCAAAGGCTTTTCTCCATGGAGATGTCATTTCTTTGTCTAGAAAGTTTCACAATGATTTCTATCATCATGGATACCAAACCAGACCAAATTACAGGTCAGATCTGTGGAGAGGAGACCCCACTCAGTCAGAACGCCCGTTTTTTTTTTTGTTTTTTTTAAGGTATTTTTGAGCTATAAAACCACCAGTAATTTAATAAATGTAAGGCACAGCTGTTTAATGTGCAAAGTCCCAGACAGACCAATGACATATCCATAGAAACAAACAGGTGACGGACCCAAAACCGAAAGTTATAGTGCATTTCAGGTCACCATTTTTGATATTTAATATTTCTGCGGTCATTGTAGTCACCAGTACTCTATTTTTTCAATCCAAACGTAAAAACATGCAAAAATTTATATAAAAATAAAAACTCTTTAGATAATTTTTACTCTGTGTGCACAGTCTTGCTGCAATATTGTCCCATCCCTAGTAGTTGGTTACTGATTGACAAAACGGTACCTGCCCACTTTGATATATGCAATTTCGAAAACTATATGGATAATGATTTACTTAGTTGATAAAACTAAATATATACATTATTTGGAAGGCCAAGTCTTTCGCAATACACCAGTCTCATTGTTGCACCACGAGGTTTCCCTTATCATAGCGATTGCAAGATACAAACACGAGAGCTTCCAAACTACAAATCACAGCAAATCAAACATCTGTCTGTAAATCCGCAATTACAATTTCAACAGAATACGAAATTTACGGCAATAAATACGTACCACATGTGTTTCTAGTAGGCTCGAAACCACAGCACGACCACCACCCTATGACACCGCAACAAGGAAGAGAGGACGATAATGACGATCCCTCGCAATTTATCAGAAAATCAAACCACGTGTTTACGACCTGCCGTTACACGACTTCCGGATGACGCCAATAAACAAAGTAGAAATGTATTTGTTAATAGAAAGAATAAAAATAGTAAAAGATACACGGGTCAGCATCAATCACTACAGCAGGTGCACATAATATCTGGGTTAAAAATAAATTGTATAAGATATGATGTGATTTTTTTATGTTTTAGTGACATTATCAAACATTTAAACGTTATATGACGCTACTACAACTTTAGAACAATGTCTCAAATTTAATTATATGTAATAAAATCGATTTGTTTGAGTTTTATCATGAATTGTGCTGTGCTGCTTCGATAGATGGCGCAGTTTAAATTGAATTCCATGTGTTTCAACGAGGAAGCGAAAGACGCGCTCTGATTGGTCGAAGAACTATTTAAATTTGAGCTAATGCTACTTGCCGTTAACCAGTTTTCACCTCGGATTTGAGCGGAAAGTATGGAAAGCAGGTATTAAACATCTTCATTTGAGTGCGTTACATGTTATAATATTGCTATTTTATATAATATTGCTTTGTGTTGCTATTGGTGGTTATCGCTAATCGATATGAGTAAAATTACCGAATTTAGCTCAAAACATGAATTCGTATTAGTTTGAACTGTCGAAAATATTTTGGGAGATGAGCTAAAATAAAGCATAAACACTGTTCTTGCACATAGTTTTTGTGTGTAAATTTAACCGAGAACTTTGTTTGCATGTTTATGAATGTAATAAACTTGTTTGATTTGTATTAAGGAAAAGGCACGTGCCCTCAAAGGATAAAGCACTTATAAGCAAATATAACAATCATTTTGTTTTCTGATATGTACTTCTACTTCTATACAATTTTTACCAAGTTATTTAAAGTGGGGAAATGGCTTCAAGACTCTTTAAGCTTATCTTTACTATAATCGTAGTTGTAAAAGCTGAGAAGTAACTGGGTGAGCATGTGCCCTACTCCTCTAGCACTCAAAAGACCAAGTAACAAACATCTCATTTATAAAGTTATTTAAAAATTACTGTTTTTCTTCCCCCAGGTTGATGGGTACTATGCACTGCTTTTTAGGTAAGGGCATTTTCTTTATTCCCTCAAATTTTATGAACTTTTCTTGAGATGATGAAACAAAAGGCCGACTGAACCTGTCCCTTAACAGTTTTGTTTGGGGTCAGACATGACTAAAACCTACTGAAGCGTTATTTCTGATCTGAAAACATATTTAGAAATTGCCTTTTTAGTTTCTCCACAGTTAACTAACATTTGTTTTCTGTCACAGCCAGGTGACTCTGGGAAAGCTGCTTTTAACTTTCATAAGGTGAGATTCTAAAATGGGACAATCTTTGACTTCTGTATTTACACCAGTCCTGCACATTATACACCTTTTTAAAAAAAACTGGATTCAGTATATCTTGCTATTGTCTTAGGAACCGTTAAGCACATCAGAGATTGCATACTTGATGATACTTGTAAAGCGTGTGATACAAGGGTCCAATATAAACTAATTGCACAGAATACCACAGTGTACAGATGACTTTGTGCAACCTGGTGTAGGTGGAAAGGTATTTCTATTGGGACTTGATGTGAACAAAAGGCCGAAGTGGAGCTCTATGACAAAGACTGACCGAAGCGTTTATCTGATCCCATACAACTATGCACTTTATGGGGAATCTAATTGTGACAACTTGGAGCTCCTCTTTTGGTTTGGGACTTTGAGGCTTCAATATGTAAAACTTGACTTTTTTTTTTTTCCTTTTTTAGTACTCTATATCAAGACCCAATGTATTGAAACTTTCAGGCTGTAGTGTTTCTTAAAAATTAAGCATATACATTTATATTCCTGTTCTGTATTGACTTAAAGTTGCTCTTTTTATTCCCAGGTTGTATAATGGCATATCTGCATCACTTGAGCCTTCCTCAAATCAAATGGTAAGAAATTGTGAAATTCAATCTGTTTTTTCCATAATGGGAGATGATGTAAACAAAAGGCCGAATTGAAGTGCTCTGCCGCAGTTTGTTCTCAGCAGGACACAATGACAAAGACCGACCGAAGCGTTTATCTGATCCCACATTTTACATATCAACAGATTCTGTTCAAATTACTCTATTTACAATTTAATTGTCCTATGTTTTTCAGGACCATCGATCCCCAAGGCTGATGGACGGTATATTTGTATGATCAAAGTTTTCATAAAACTTTAACTTATTGGTAATAAAGAATTTCCTCCAAATGTTTCATTTTTTTTCTTTAGAAATATATAAAGTCATCAAAATGTTTGTCCTCCAGCTCCTGATATCTTTGACTAATAAAACAAAGGGGACAATGGAGATAATATTCAAGACCCCCCCCTTTTTTTTTCTCCTTCCAGTCAGAGCTGTAACCCACACATACAAACACTGGCCAAGGAAGTGTGTACATGTCTCATGATTTTGGTACTGCTTCGTAATAACAGTAAAACATTTTGGTTATCAAATTGTGTTTTGCAATATGGCAAGAAAGTGTTCTTCTGGGAGGACATCAGTGATTTCTGAATATAAATGGTAAAAGCCTCCAGAAGCAAATATAATAGACCAATTACTTTAAATTGACACTAAAAAAATGTTTAACTGAAAATGTCAGTGGTTTATATTTAATGTAGAATTGGTTTGTTTGCATGGCAAGGCTATGAGGATATAACAATTGATAATTATTCTATACAGAAAATGAAGCTTTATTAGTATGGTTGAACATTGATAATTGATACAGCTCAAATTCAAAGTCAATTTAACAACAGTCAATTTAAAGACAATTGCTATAAAAACACAGACTCAGTAAACGTGTAGTTTTACAGAATTGCTCTCTGTTTCATGATTCTATTAAATTAACGTCACATCGAAATGGACCAATGGCGAGAGCGCATTCAGACTACGGTGTCCTGCCAGCCCAAAACACATGTAAACACTTACAAAACCACTTTCTGTGAGATTTCTGTACATTTGCAAAGTCCTGCCGCATCAACAACAAAGTCCCGGGCTGTATTTCAGATGATATGAAGGTTTTAATCGGTACGTGCATGTTTTGACTCGGCTTTAGCTTGTGTGAAGGTTGTTAGCTCGCGTTAGTGCAGTGCACATATGAAAGGTCAACGTGACATAACCATGGATCTATAATAAGTTTTTATCTACAGTTCTATTTACAGTTTTATGAACGTAACGTGCTACTAATATTCACACGACATTAGGTTCAATACGTTCAGCTCAGTTTAAACAATGAGACAGCATATCTGCCAATAATTATAAATCTGTTGCTTTATTTGATCTATTGTATGTATTCTTTGACATTTCTGTAAACTCCCTAGTTGTAATGTAATAATCATGAACCAACACGGTAGACTATAAAGAACAGGAGTGTACAAAATATTGAAATATCGATATATTGTATCATTTAATGTAATGATACAGTATTGCTATCTTGGGCTGCTGTATTGATATATCACCATGAGTATTTTTTGGTATATTTTACTAAATTATTTTGTTACAGCACTACACTTTTGTTGCTTGTTCAGAGGAAGGAAACTTACTTATGCAACACATTTGAGATTTTCATTGTTTTGATAATTAAAAGGGTTGTGTTTCAAAAAGAAATAGGCTTGTCTTGGAAAATTATGAATTCATACTGCAATCGGGCTTGCCTCTCCACAGATCTCACCTGTGGCTGTTACTTGGCCTGTTGGCGTCACCTTCTTGTCTCTGTGGTTATTAGTTTAATGCCATACTGTGGAACATTTTAGGCAAAGCTATTACATCTCCATGCACATAAACAGATGGCGAATAGACCTTCAAGAAAAGTTACACAAACTAAAAAAAATACTAAAGTCCATTGGCTACACTGGCTATCATTTTTTAACATAACATTTTAGAATAAATCAGATAGTAATAAATAAAATGTGTTATGTTTGTGGGTAGGTTGCACAAATCAATACAGAATGATTTGTGATTACACTTCTCATACATTCTTTATTTATTTGTACTTGTTATTCTTCTTCTTCTCACAGGAGGTGGTTCTGGCTTCGTGGGTCGGGAGCTGACTCATCTGCTTAAAAACAAAGGTCATGAAGTTACTGTGATCTCCCGTCAGCCCGGACCCGGCAAGATTACATGGGTACGAGTGGCATTATATTAAAGTTCACACAGTTTACAGGTCAGTTTATTATATTTAATAATTTTATTGTTTTATTTTCTACAGAAAGAGCTGGAGTCCAGTGGACTTCCTGCTTGTGATGGGGCTGTGAATTTGGCTGGAGAGAACATCATAAACCCACTTCGATGGTGAGCAAAACTGGATGAAAAATACAGCAAGAATGCAAAATAAAAATAAACGAGAATAGCTATGTCCGTTGCAATACTAAACTTTCAAACTCGATCATTCTAAAGTTATTGAGCAAAGGTTCATTTCTGTCCTGTGAATGTGACTTTTTTAGTATCGATACCTGCTCAAATGAGTATCTATATTCAATATTAGTTTTAGTATCTATGAGTATCCGATTTTATATACTTTTGACACTAGTCTATAAATAGCATCATGTACATTTCGAATAACACTTTCTGTATATTATTTGAGATTCCTCGATAATGCAAACTGCCATTGTGTCATTACACTTTTCTCATGTATGAATGTGGTGTGTGCGTGTTGCTGGTGACCGACAGGGGGTGATGGCACAGATTGGCAGCCTTACCTCTGTCAGTCTACTTTAAGGCAACTGACTACAATAAGAGTTTACACCAGCACTATATAAATCTATTGTACTGTTTTCAAGGTGGAATGACAGTTATAAGAAGGACCTGTTCTCCAGTCGGATTGACACGACCAAAGCTCTGTCCAGCGCCATCGCGTCCTCCACCAGCCCCCCGCACTCATGGGTTCTAGTGTCTGGAGTTGGTATGTATTACATTACAAAATGGAGCTTCAGGGCAAAGTCATGCTATGCTAGAATTTGCTTTTAAAGGTGCATTCTGGTGGAGGAATGCTTTTCTCTCTTTGTCTGGAATGTTTCACAGTATGGTATTAAAGCTTTCTATCTTCATGGAGACCAAACCAGACCAAGTTACAGGTCAGATCTGTGAGGCGACCCGACTCACAGTCAGAATGTCTGTTGTTCCAGGTATTTTTGAGCTATAAAACAACCTGTAATTGAATAAATGTAAGGTAGATCTGTTTAATGTCATACTGTGGAACATTCCAGGCAGCGCACCTTTAAACTATTAAAAAGTAGATGTTTTTTCCTGGCTTATGGTTAATATCTGAAATCTCTAGGCCTATGTCCACATTAAATAAAAAACTGGAATGAAGTTAAACGTCTTCTCTTCATCAAACTAGATGAGATATGATTGGACTAGAGTTCTGGCATAATACAAACAAATGTATGCCAAGGATTAAATATGTACAATTTCTGGATGCAATCCCTAATAGTGATGATAAGGTTCGATATTGGTGAATTTTCAGTTATTTTCAGGTTTCCTTCCAACACAGTCAATGTCTGAGTTATACAGGTATCTGCCCTTCATCCTAGGTTATGGTCATGAATTCTGTCTCCTCCTTTAGCCTGTTACCAGCCCAGTCTCACAGCTCAGTACACAGAGGAGAGCGAGTGGACGCCGTTTGACCTTTTGTCTAAACTGGTGAGGGAGTGGGAGGCAGCGGCTGAGCTACCTGAAAACGTTGCCAAGACGACCAGACAGGTGGTGATCAGACCTGGTGAGTGGAACATTTACACCCATTTGTACTGTCTTTCTGTCTATATTTTGTTATTTAAATTCTATCCAAATTTTATTGTAACACCTTATTTTGTGCATTCTGTTTGTTTTGGCATTGTTTTTAGTGAACACCCAACTTATTGCCTTTTTATAGCTAAAAAAAAATGCATTCTTACTGTGTGTGAGGTCAGTTCACCACAAGTTTTTTATATTTCTTACTATTCCATAATAGTGTGATTTTCAACATGAACTCATAATGTGGTCTTATCTGTGTAATCCCTCAGTGGTCCAGGTAGGTTCCATAGTGGTCCATGGGCGTATATTATTCTAACATTTCCCTACAATCCATCAGAAGGAGCCTCAACCAAGATATTTACTGGCATATTTAATAATCACAAAAGATAAAATAACTGTATTAAATAAAAATACCCTTGTTTAGAAAATTATGATCCCTATGTTGTTGTTTACCCTTCTTTTTTTTCAGGTGCAGTTCTGGGTCGAGACGGCGGTGCCATTAAACAAATGTGGCTGCCCTTTTGGCTCGGACTGGGTGGGACTCTGGGCTCGGGCCGGCAGCCGTTTCCATGGATACACGTCGCAGATTTGGCGGGAATCATCGCTCACTTTCTGGAAACACCCTTGGAAGCCCCACCCGCCTCTTCACCTCAGGTGTACAATGGTGTTGCCCCCTCTCTCAACACGAATTATGAGTTTACGAAAGAGTTTGGGAGGATTTTAAAGAGGCCGACTATCTTCCCCGTGCCTGGTTTTGTGATGAATGCTACCCTAGGATCTGAACGGGCTATTATTTTAACCCAGGGTCAAAAGGTCATCCCTAAAAGGACTCTAGAGGCAGGATATCAGTACAAGTATCCAGATTTGAGTTCAGCGCTGAAAGAAATTGTGGGTTAGTTCATTTATTTGTACGAGGAAGATATTGATATTTTACAGTGACGTCACACTGGGGGTGTATGTACATGCTATTGGAAAAATGAGAAATTCAAAGTTTATTTGGTCAAATACGTTTCGCAGCTCATCCAGGCTGCTTCTACAGTTCTGGTCAAAATGCTGGTAGACACTGCTTTATATCTGCCAGCAGGGAGGAGCTAACTACAATGAAATTTCTCTGAAACTAACACACCTAGTTGTTTACAGTTTCTGTTAGTTAGTTAGGCCTATTGAACTTGCACTGAGTGTGGGGTCTTATTAGCGTAATCATTCATGGCCATAATGGAGCTTTCACACCTCTGGACATGACCTGGCTATCCCTGTTGTTCTCTTGTTTGTTTTGATTTAGCTTTGAGGATGGAGTTCTAAATAGGAGACAGATGATGTCTGAGTTCTCCATTTCTGTTTAAAGAAAAATTCTCTTTCTTAACAAAAATAACTTTAACTTCCCTCTCAAACCAGTTCTTTGGTGTATGATAATGCTAATAATACCCCACATTCAGTGCAATTCAATAGGCCTAGCTAACTAACAGAAACTGTAAACAAGTAGGTGTGTTAGTTTCAGTTTCAGAGCTGCAAGGTATCAATAAGCGCACCTATTGGCCATGTATAATTCTATCCTTGGGTTTGAAAAATTTAAATATGCACCGCTGCCATAGCTATTAACAATTCAAAATTTAAAATGATATATTTTGAACGGTTATAAGTCCTCAAAATCATCTTGTGCATTATTCTGATCCTTATTTATATAAATCTGTCATAAACTGTAAACTATGAAATACAGTTTGGAGTGTTTTTAGTCATACACATAAAAACCCAATGTACATTCAACTTTTATTAGTAAATTGCCCAATTCACATCTAATCATGCTGTTTGAGTTATAAAATGTAAATAAAATTAATTGTGTATTTTCAGTTAAAAGTCTACTTTTGTCATGCTTTGATACTTCTCTACCATTATCATGATCTAATTTTCTGGAGTTATCAGATTATTGAGATGTAAATCGTGGCAGTGTATCCAGTCTATGATTTTAACATTCACACCAAAATCTGATTGTAATCTGATTTCTGGACATTTAGGATTATTTAAATGACATGTAAACTGCAAGATCTGATCTGTGTACTCTGGTGGACCATGGTCAGAAAGAAATAAAATTATTTTGCTGTTTACATGTCATTTTAATAGTCTGAAGATGCAAAAAAAAAAAAAAAAAAATCAATAATAACTGGATTTAGAGTGTCCTTGTAAACAAACAAGCCTGTTCCATCTGATGTAAGTAATAGGATTTTCTTTCATATTTTTAGCACCTGTGCAGGTTTTGAAGGAAAAATATACATGAAAAGGCAAACTAATGACAAAGACAAAAATGAATTAAAGCCGCGCGCGGCGATGGTGGCCCTCGCCCCGGGCGCGCACCGCCCCCCCACGCGACCTCCGGGGACTCGCGACCGCCCCGGCACGCCACCCTCTCTTCCCGACAGCTCCCGAGGCCGACAGCTCGTCCACCAGAAAACATAGTCTACCTTTAAATGTTTCAGAGGAGTCTTTGCGCCCCTGCTGGCCAGTGGTGGAAAATGCACCATGTCCGTAATAAACTTTTTTGCTTGTCATCATGCATAGAATTTAATTTCCAAATTTCGTACAAATCCGATAATGTTGACATTTCATGTCTATGCTAGGGGGCGCTATAGTATTCACTTTTCATATGTTTTATAGTGTATTATATTCAGGCTGTGATCACGCATTAGTGATTCAAATTTCAGCACGATCGGACTAAGCCTGTGGGTGTAATCATTTTTTTATTATTTTTTTGGGGAGTCTTTGCGCCCCTACTGGCCAACCATGAAAAATGCACCATGTCCGTAATAGACTTTTTTGCTTGTAATCATATACAGAATTTAATTCCCGAATTTGGTACAAATCCAATAATGCTTACGTTTCATGTCTATGGTAGGGGGCGCTATAGAGTTCATTTTTCATATGTTTTATAGTGTATTATATTCAGGCCGGGATCATGCATTAGTGATTCAAATTTCAGCACGATCGGACAAAACCTGTTTGTGTAATAAATTTTTAACTTTTTTTGGGGGGAGTCTTTGCGCCCCTGGTGGCCAACTGTGAAAAATACCCCATGTCCGTAATGCACTTTTTTGCTTGTCATCAGGCATAGAATTTTGGCCTTCGCCACTAACAAAGTTAGGGGCGAGGGGTGTTGTTGTTGGTATCCTTCTGCTGGATGGAAAGAAAAGATTTTTAAATGGTGACCAATTTGTCCTTGTTTCAAACTTTTTTATTGCTGTCTTTTGATGCCACCTCTTCTCCTAAGGTATACTCCAGTTTCTAAAATACATAAAAAAATTTTAAACAATTCTATAATTTATAATTTAGTTTAACAAACCTGTAATACTACAAACCTGATCTGTTACAAATTTGTTAACATCTTCATCACTGGGCAGAAAGTCCTTCCAGTTCAACCCAGCTTCGGTCCACATAGCCCCAACTTTCTTGGGGGTCTAAAATTTTAAAAATAATTCCCTGTCATAGTTTACCAATGGAATTACAGAACTGTATATAAAACTGGTGTCACCTACCATTCCTTTACAAAGCATGTTTAAGATTTGTACCAGGAGCACACCCGCCTTCCCAAGAGGCACTAGAGGCTTTGAAATCTCCCTAAAATCAAATGAAAAAGTATACTCATTTTACATGTGACAATCGTAAATTGGTGATGAGCTGATAAAAGACAAAATTGTACTTACCTGAAGAGCTGTCCCATAGAGAGCCCACCTTCGTGTAACATAGGGGTGATGAGCTCAGCCAGGTAAAGCCAGATGTGAGGTATATCTATTTCCATATCCTCTGCCACTTCTAAGATCTCATGCAGCCTACAGCATCATAGTTTCGTCATTTTTAAAATTATTAAATTACATACAATTCTAGGAAAGTGTCCCCCAAAGGAGCCCAAAGCTCACCCTTTGTAGTATTGCTGCGGAGGCAGATTCCCGGCCTTGATCAGCTGATGCAGCAGCAGTCCCATGTGCTCCCGGGCAATGGTGCTGCGATCAAGTGTCGATTCCAAACCGACCCGTACAAAGACAAAAAGCAGGGAGGCACTGTTCAGCTCCGCAACGCACTGTAATGCTTCCTGCAAGACAGAGGGGGGAAAAAACACAATGGTGTGAGTTTATTTCATTATTTATTTGAGTACAATTATTGAAAGTTTTTTTAAGCTCCTCATTTACCTTCAAGTCATTAATATGGAGGTATTCTTCAATTATGGCATTTGACTTCTTCTCTAACTCTTCTTCAGACAAAGCAGGTTTAGATGGAGGTGGCGTTGGGGCACTTTCACGCTTAACTAATATGACAATTAAAATCCAGAATTAGGCTACTCTGATTAGACAGCCTCCCACAAAAATATTTTCCAAGTCAAAATAAATACAAAAATGCTAACCTGAATGTATGTCTTTACTTGAAGCACGATCTTTGCTGCCCCTGTCACGGCTCCCTCGGTCGCGGCTGCCCCTGTCGCGGCTGCCCCTGTCTCGATCGTCTGTCATGCTGGCCACACGACGAACAGAATCCAGAGCACTGCGTCCCTCTCCTCCTCGGCTGCGCTCCTGGGATTCTCGACTGAAGCTTCTCTTTGTGATTTCAGGGCGGTTGCTCCTGTCACCATCACCTCCTTCCCTCCGATCAAAGCGGTCAAAACGATCTCTGTCACCAACCCCTCGTTCCCGACTGGAGCTTGACCTAAAAAAAATTTAAATTCAAATATTAATTAATGGTAAGCAAATGTGTTTGGCTCAAACTAGCTACTGAAAGCAATGAGGAGACACAGTAACACAATAACAATAGTAGTCAATGTGAATACCTCTGAGGAACTCGGCGATCAAACTCTGATGAAGACCCAGACTGCAGGGCTGAGAAATGGTTCAGTGTGCTAGTGGCAGGACGACTTGAATCTAAACATAAGTGAAGACATGATTAATAAAAGTAATGTGGCTTTCTCAAACTCACAATCTTTGTTTTATATTTTACCCTTTTCTGCACTGGATGGTTTAGTTCCACTTCCTCCACTGCAACCTTTTCCCCAGCTACCCCACATCCCTTTACCACCTGGAGCCAACAACTGATTGTTAAAGTCCATCGCACCAGGCTACAAAAAAAACAAGATATGTGCATATATATGAGAAAAACAAAAAAAAACAATGTATAACCAAATCATATGCAAGTGTAGATGACAGGCTTCATGTTACCTTCGTGATTTTGCTCAGACGGGTGGTGTCAATAGGTCTGTGTTCTTGGAAATGGGGACAGTGTTCCATCCTTCGTCCTGGGTTTGGCTGGTCCTGCCTCCCCCGGGAGTGTGAGGACCTCGGCCACCCCACCCATGCTCATTCTGCCTCGCCGCCCTCCTTCTTGGATAGAAGCTGCTGCTGGACCTTTATCTGCTCCCTGTGCTCCTCCAGCTCTGCCTCCTTGTGGATCTGGTCAATTGTTTTAGGTCCCTGGTCTGCTCTTCTAGGCACCCAGTTGCTCTACAGTGGAAAATGGTCACATTTTAATATAGCACTTTCCCACCTTCAAGGCTCTCAAAGCACTTTACAACAAGGAACCACTCAACCATTCATACGCACACATTCATACACCAGTGTAAGCAGACATTAGGGGCAAAATGAGTCAAGTGTCTTGCCCAAGGACATAACGGCAGCATTCATCTACATGAGCTGGAATCACACCAGGCACACCAGCTCAACCAATGAGGTTTATGTTGAGAGCGGGATTCGAGCCGCCAATCTTTGGATCAGTGGACAAATGCTCTACCATCTGAGCTACTGTCGCCCCACTTTTAAAGTTGCCAATGAGAAATGTGATCTACTACATCTCAAATCAAACAATCAATACCCTTCTGAGGTCCAAGACATCTTGCAGTATGAAACAAATTCTTGACGTGGTCTTTCTCTCCTTTATGATTTTGTCCATGTGGTTAAAATACTGGTCCATGCGGGGCTAGAAAAAATAACTTTAATGAAATGCAAGTTTAAATTTCAAAGTTCAAGGTTAAAGATGTAAATATGTTCTCTTTAGTTTCTAAATACCAAGATCACCGAGATTCATTGGCCCAGACAGGTGATGCAAAATTAATGGTCATCCAACAGAGGTTGTTTATATGTTAAAAAGGTATTTATGTTCACATGTACCTTTGCCTTTTCAAAGTCCAGGTCTTTGCCGATTGTAGACAACAACCTGCATAGACACTCAAGAGATTCTTCATCGTGATTCTTCAATAGTTTTACAACACAGTCGTGCATAATGGCTTCTGTCAACATTTTCAGTTTGAAAAGCTCGCCAATGAACTTGATGTTTCCCAGTGATCGCCGTCGGGCCTTATCTCTGGCTTCCTCTAGCTCCGCTTTCAAACGATCACATTCTTCACCCTGAGAAATGCAGGCAATTGTTATTAGAACCTTCCATGTTTCATTGAATACATTTTACAATTATTGAACCACTTACTTCTTTTGCAGCATCCAATTCTTTCTGTTTTTCTCAAATTCCTTTTGACAGCGATTTTGCAGAAGTTTGCGAAAGTTTGCGGTAGCTCCTGGCTTTTCTGCAGTAGGGACTTTTAACTGTAGTGAATAAAAATACATAATTTAAGGTGATGATGGACATGGCCCAAGATGGTATTGAGTAAAAAGCCGACATATGATTTGACACATCATAGCTATCACTTAAGCATATCATTGACCATAAGTCAATAAATTTGTAAAATATAAGTTACATGTAAAATAAATTGTGCAAAGGCTACTTAGGTCATGTCATTCTTCAAGAAAACAGTTCAAAGCGACTTACCCCCCTGAGGCAACGACACATGTTGGCATAAGCTACAGAAAA